AAAAAAAAAAAAAAAAGCACCACCCGGCACACAAGATTTAGAGCAAAGTCCGATATCTGTTTTTCGGCAAAGTTCATCAATTGCAGTTCGTATCACAACTCGCAATCCCCAGCGCTCGAGACCTTCCAGCCAAGGGTTGTTCTCAAAGATGCAAAAAACAACAAACAAGTTGCTAAACCTTCAAAACTAGGGAGAAAGAAGATCGAGAGCAGAAAATTATGAAGAGAAACACGGGACTGTAAACTCACAAAAACATAATATTAGCTTATTTCATATTCACCCAACATCAAAATCCATAATTTCAGATCTATTCATGCTAACTTAAAAGACATGTAAAATAGAATACAATAGAATAATAATCCCGAAGCTTTTATACACATAAAAATGTAGACCATTTAGTACAATCCAATAAAGACATCCATAATGTATATGATCCACAGAACACCCGCATCACTATAACCTGCATCCATAAATGTATATATAACATGCCCAAGTGGTCGTAATTTCAAGATTTCAAGAATAACAAACCAATATATCAAAGACATGATATCTGATGAACAATTTTACAAATCTGGTTCAATGGGATGTGCTCGAATGGACAAGTACTAGGAATTGCACCATATAAGTTGTTATTTGAAACATCTCTGCAGAAAAAGAAAAAAAAAAGAGCATATATGAGTGACCTAACAACACCAGATATATAACGCATAGCATAAGGAAAGCATTAGCAGCATGTTGAGAGAACTTACAAACCTTTCAAGCTAGACAAACCCGCTAAAGGCCTTGGAATTGGTCCGTGGAGATCATTATCATTTATACGTCTGCCAAATTGATAAAGAATTATTGAATGAAATAACCAACTAAAGGCCTTGGAATTGGTCCGTGGAGATTATGCCAGCTAAAGGCCTTTATATCAACACAAATAATCCATAATCACCAAACAACCAACCAAAAAATGGTTTGCGTAGTTACGACATCATTTTTATTAGTTTGCAAAACATTTTCCAAGTTGGTTGTGTCGAGTATATCTCATGGGCAGACATTTAGCGAACATAGCCCAAGCCTACCTCTACTTGTAGTTTACCCCATACCTAATTTCAGACCTCATTCTTATATCATCATGTGTTGCAGATTTTTCTTGTGATCAGAACAACACTAAGGTCAATGGTCATGCAGCAAAATAATTTATCCAACTATAGAGCAGTTCTTAAGAATCTATACATACAGTAAAGTATACACTTTTTCAGCAAAAACCACTGAATAAATTGACATAATTAAATGTCTGTCGATCCTTGGTATGCCCCACAAAATGAGTATCCCTGGAACTTTTCTTCAAATTTGTGAACAGATGGGAGAACAGGAACAATATACTTGTATTATCTATACCAAATTACAGATCCAGAAGGGTGAGGGAGAGTGAAAAAATGAAAAATGGTGACCACCTTGGTCATGAAGAATCTAGAGATACTTGCGGTCAGACGAGAAGGTTGTCTTGCATCAAGTTCGATCTCAGCGGCTCTGCCGTCAGCCATAATCCGTCCAAATCCCTATCATCCTCCGTGGAATCATCCAGACCCAAGGTTTCATACTTATCCTGCTTCCCTGTCCTGCGATAATCACTGCAATCAACGCACGAGACGGTGGGCCTTCTCAGCAACGAGACTATATATCGGTGATGGTAAGAAAAATACTATATATCTTACTTTTACGCTTCCACACTTGTACTCCACAAAATAAAAAAATCTCGCTGATGTAGTTCACTGACCACAAGGAGGAGTGGGTAATACAAGAAAGCCTCATATAAAAAAAAAATCCCGCAGATCTGCACTCATTCTCATCACTTAATCCCATCCAATCAGCAAATAGCAGAGTACACAATGATCATATGTCAGCTGGTAACTGGTGTTACACAAAAGGTTGCAAGCATGAATGATATTGGAAGGATATTTATACATAACATATACTTGAGTATGTACCATGAAACTGACCTTGCAACAACTGAAACCCCATACGTAAAACAATAGTACCTGCAAATTAAGTTAGATTAAAAATGAGAAGGTGGCTAAAATATAAAAATTTAGAAAATGATCCCCATACGAACAACAGTACCTGCACATTAAGCTATATTAAAAAAGAGAAGATGGCTAAAAAAGTAAAAGTATAAATAGACAACGGAGACCCCATATAAATAGTATTATTACTTTTACAAAAGACAGAGACGCTCGCTAAAAATATAAAAATTTAGACACAGACATCGCAACTCAACATCAGAGTATTCTGGAGCTCAGAAGATCTAGCAATAAAGAATATTTCAGAACCATCACAAATCACAGTTTAATGACGAGC